GTGATAATAAGTGGTCATCACTGCTGTGTGCATAGCATCAACATCACCACTGTGTGTCTTCAGAGCCCACCTATAATAATTGGTGAGCTTGGAGATCAGGTCTCCTGTCAAGCGGCCCTTTCCCCCAAGACTCTCAAGGCCAGGGCCTTTGTGTTTTGCAATCAAGTTGTGCAAAGCAGTGCCCATACGCTTTTGGACATGATTAATGCAGTCCTCATTTTCCACTAGGATATACCCATAAACCTTACCTTCTTGTAGCGCAAGGTAACTGCGGCTGTCCCCGTTGCAAAGCACCGTGGTGTAGCACAGGTTGTGCCGCTCAAGTGACCTCCTGAAGAGGATGAGGGCAGCCTCAACATCCATATCCCAGCCTTCTTGTCACTGTTTTTCTGACACTGGTAATGTTCCTTCCACGGTGCATAAGAAGGGTCACCTTCCTTTGGGCCCGATTTGCATCCAGCACAAAAGTTGCTCAAAACAACAAAGTCAAGCACCAGCCCGCTGCACAATTCAATGATGGTGCCGAGACCGATATGCGACGAATGACCGGGAGTCATCCATGACCCATCAAACGACTCTGCGATGTTTCCCGTGTGGCCTATATTAAGTTCGGCGTAAAGTTCGCGAGTCGACCGCACGCCGTCGCTCATCAATATGCGTGCAGCACGATCGGCCGCGGGTGCCAACTTCGTCTCCACGTAGTGTTGCCACGTAGTGTTGCCAAAGTCCAGAAAATTGGACTCCGGGGGGTTCGAGCGTCCGAAATTTCAGACTTCCTTATACATTGATTCCATGGGGCTCGTGGCGGTGCCGCGAAGATCTCCGAAATATAAGGCATGTCCAAAAATTCGGGTGTCCGAAAAATCGGCAGTTGACTGTATTTGAAGTTTTCGAATATTTGCACATGCCTATTTATAATAAGACTAGAGTTTAGTCTTATTGGTGTGTGTGACGATTCATGACCATGTTAGTGTGGCGTCACCTTACACAATTAAGGGGGCTACTTTGTAATACTGTATTCGGTTGGCCACTCTGGTCCTCTGACTCGGAAGTCACCAGATGCCGAGGCAGCTTGCAATCAAGAATGCGAGAGTCGGAGTATCAACCGAATATGTCGGCGATCTCGGAGCAGCGCGCTTGTAGCACCAGCGTGCAGCCAGCGCTGGAAGCTGCCAGGCAAACATTCTTGTGCCGCTTTGACGAATGGTGCCGATCAGTTCAGTGGACATCGACATGTCTCGATGCAGTGACAGCTTTCTGAACTCATCACATAAATCTGGAAATCGTCATTGTCCGGGCTGCTATCTTCAAGGCAAATCACGTGGCTGTGTGCGAGCTGCTGTAACGATATCATTAGTGTTTCCTCTGCCTTCGTTAGCTGCCTCAATTTTGTAGTGGCACATTTTGGCTTCGTAGGTGCCACACATATGCTTGAAATCGCCACTAACAACACACGTGCACGAAGTATTATGCACCCAGCGATGTCCCCTTCCGAAATACATGCTCGCATTGTTGGCTCTGTTCACCTGGCTCACTTGCCGACAGTCACGCGATTTGCCGGTATGTGTCACATGATCCGTTCTCCCAGTCAGATCTCACCACGCTCTCACTTTGAAGCCATAGCGGTCAGGAGCGCTTCAAAAGAGCCAACCAAAGGTAGTCTGAGCGCTCGAATTCTATTAACCGAACGCGCAGCCACTTTTCAGAATGCTTTAGTGCGCTCGTCAATGCCCAACTTAATACACCATAAGTGTTTTGCGACAGAATGTAACAAAACACCTCAAGAGCAAACAAACAGCCAATAGGTGAGTTGAGGGAATTCTGGAATGTTTTCAACACATGAAGAAAGGTATAATTATTATAACTGAACATCAATTTTTTCAGGCTTTGTTTTTCAAGCTTGAGATGGAATAGCACAATGACTGTAACAATTCATTGGCGTTAATCTCCTGAGTAGATGCCAGGTGGTGTCATAATTTTGATGAATCAATTGGTGATAGGGGCTGGTTGCGATTTTCACAAACTGTTGTCATGGGATTGAAGAAAGCCGAACACGTTTTAATCCAATCCAAGTCTCAAAACGGTATCAGTTCTCTTTCACACAGCGGGGCCTTCGTTAATTATGTGCTCATTCTGGGCTGAAATGATTGACAGCTCAGCTATTTGCAGCCGCTATTCTCATGTGGGACCGTCAGACAGGCCTCGACCAAGTGCCTTCTGCTTGTCCCCTTAATGACGCTTTATTCCGTTCTGTGACAACACTTACCGTATTTACTCGATTCTACTGCGCCCTCGATTGTAACGCGCACCCATTTTTCTCGCTGGCCCGCACGATCACATTGCTCGAAAAAACTACTCCTTTCGGGAGCGTCTTCCATTTAAATTTGAGGTACGGGCGAAGCTTGTGCCCATCTGATGTGTAACAGAGCTTTGCCGTCACTGTAGTTTTACCGTGGACCGATGCCAGCACGCGAACTTGCTTCGCCCCCTTCTTCTCGACGGTTGTGGTGCCAGGCATGTCGAAGTAAAGAGGCGTCTGATCGGCATTCCCGATTTGCCCAAGCAGGTAGCCGTTGTTGCGCCGCAAGTTTAGGACGAACTTCTGAAAACTGTGAAGCTTTTCATCGTACTCTTCCGCAAAACTTTTCGCATATGCATGTTCCCCTTCGGTGGGAAAAGCCTTTCCTCTTCATAAAGTTAGTTAGCCAGCACCTGCTCGCTTTAAACTGGCTCCGCATTAGACCTTTTTCTAAGACTAATTGCATAGCCCGCACTTGGAGCAGTTCTGTCGTCGCGGGCCGCTCGCTGCTCAAGCACATACTCGCCGAGCAGCTCTTTAATTTGCGGAAACCGACCCTGCTGTGGTCCACTGAAGCCTTTGCGTTGTGGGGTCTCGAATTGGCGAGCGCGCGCCACGCTGTGCTCTTGGAGTGAACGGACACAGCAGACGCGGTCCACGCAATCACCCAAGTCAGACATTACGTGACGCTGCCCCTCCGAGCCGTGGATGCGCTCTTGCGTGAGCATCATGAACTCCCGTTACCCCTCTTCCACGGAGCCCTTGTATTTGTCAAGTGTATTCTTGTGTTGTTTATTTTTTTTCTTCAGCAGCAGTTGCAGAGCGAGGCTGAGGCTAGCTGTTGCCCATTTACATGACGCCTTTGCATGCATGGGCGACGACCGGCTGCCTTTGCAGACCGGTATGTAGGGTGAATTAAGGAGACGAGGATTTCCGTTGGTCGGCGCCGGGTAAGCACGTGTTTTCCTTCGTCCGCGTCTCCTTTGGGAATCGCCGGACTGTAGCCTGCCTGGGGTGGCCTTGGGCACCTCGGCAGGCGTGTTTACTTGAGTGCTAGCTTCGGTAGCGTACGCTAAGCCCACAGCGGTGCCTAGTGCTTGAAGTGGTCGTACCACAACGAGCCGCACTTGCCGTAGGCCTACGCGTACGAGGTTTGCCCTAACACTCGCGACCAGGCCCAGTGGCCATCGTGAGAGTGCGCAGCATAGCCGCGAGGGACCTTTTCCCGACCGGCGTGTCAAAGCTCGCCATTGCCAGCTGCGACGTGCTCGCGGTTTTCCCCTTATTGTGAACGTCCACGTGCGGGTGCCTTTGCTACCCGCGTCCCGGGAGTGGACGTTGTACTGTTTGTTTGGGGTGCCGCCAGAGGCAATAAAGTGTTGTGTACTGTTAAAAAAAAAAAAAAGAAAGTCAACCTGCCGACAAATTCAAACCCGTTACAAAACCAATCTCCTCGCTTCTCAACAAAGCACACCACCGACGCTAGCAAAGAAATACCCCCTAGGCCTACTCTACTCCGGCTCTAACAAAATCCCTGTATTGAACCGCAAAAACTGTCGTCCGATACTCCAAGAGCCCCACGTTGGGCGCCAGTGTGGGGTCTCGAATTGGCGAGCGCGCGCCACGCTGTGCTCTTGGAGTGAACGGACACAGCAGACACGGTCCGTACAAAGCACACAACATACATACATTTATTAACTAATTTAGACGACGATATCATCCGCCAAATGATACACCAATTTCAATTAACACGCTACCATACAAACAAAATAACGCAGTGACACACTAAACACACAATAACATGATAAACACACACTAACACACCCAACACACTAACACATACCCAAGGCGGCGTCGCCAACGCCTGACTTTCCACGTGGGACCCCGGCGCGAAGCCCGCGGTGCCGAGCACCGGGGACCCACGCTACAGACAACCGTTCGCGGCAGCCGCCACGCGCAGAAGAGACTCGCTCAACGCTCGCCCACCACCTAGGCCTGCCTTCCGCCAGGGGCCACCGCCGGCGCCACCACTCTACCAGCAGTGGTACTCAAAGCGAACACAACGCCATCTATCGCCCGGCGGTGGTCACCACCGAAATAAAGCCTTAAGGCGAGACACGTGCGCCACGCGGCGCCGACAACTTTACAAGGGGGGAGGGGTGTCAGCACCCCCACAGCGTGAAGCTTTGCTGTCGACAATCTTCTGCTTTTGTTTCCGCCGGTCCCGCACGCACGTTTCGGGAATTCCGAACGACCGCGATGCGGCCCGATTTCCGTCCTTTTCTGCACACGCTATGACTATTCTTTTAAAAGCGGCATCGTGGTGCACTCGAGTTTTTGGAGTCAGCCCTTCCACACCGTCGATGCTAATGCACTACTAGATGACGTACTCCTCAGTACACGTACGAAGCGCCGCACATGGGAAACACGTAGGCAGAAATGGCCGACGCGCCATGCCGACGCACGTAGGGGGCGGTCATTTTGGATTTGCCGGTGGCAATAGATTGACAGTAATTTTTTTGTTCGTACTCGATTCTAACACGCATGCGATTTATGAACTTGCTTAACCGGAAAAAAGGTGCGCGTTAGATTCGAGTAATTACGGTACAAAGCCTCTTAGATTACGTAACAGCCTTGGATGACCGCATACGTGAACCGAGGTCAAGTTGTTTATCAAGGCTTTTTTCTTTTTGCGGGGCAGGCATCATACGGACTTGGGGTTGGTCGCGCGGCTCCCGTCGTTCCACCCGTGGCGCCAGTGCCCACCGAGGAGCAGGATGCCACGCACTCGGACAGCATCACCGACGACGATGACACCATATCCTCGTCGGGTCTCAGCGGTGAGTGTTTGTGCAAGCGTGGTGCAAAACGGTGCCTCTTATGGTAAGTCTTTAGATTGTTGTGACTGCACATGTGGGAATGTTGGTCCTAAACCAGCAAGTGTGGCTCAACAGTACGGCGAGCTCCGTACCGCACGATATGAACCAGTGGCCTGAACATAATGATAGAATAAAAGAAAGCGGGTGCACCGAGGGCTTGTATTATTTGACTACACCTAATGAAGCCAATAGACTAAGTCAAGAAAGACACAGGAGACGTTATTTGTAGTCCTTTGCCCTAATTAAGGGCAGAGGCTACACTTGAAGGGCAACTTTTTTTACTTATGTATAGATCTGATCAAAATTTTCACAGTTGGTGTGTTTAGATGTGCATATTCTAAAAATGTAAATACTTTTTTGATTGGTCAAGTAATTTCCAAGATACTCCACAATTAATGTAAAACCTGGGTCCTTTGTTTGATGCCTAATTAGCATCTAGTCAGGAAGCACCAAAACATTGGCAACAGTGTAGAAACAATGTAGGATGTTTAAGGAGTGCAATATGCTATAAATCAATTCGCTAGGCCGATTTCAACAGGAGTTAGAGGACATCAATGTTCAGAGAAAAACACACCACTTTCACCTGTCGTGCATGTGACCCAATTAAAAAAATTTATGTGTATATTGCCTTTAAAACAGGCATATTGCATACTGCTGGCATTTATCTTTCTGGCAAAAAAAGAATTATGCTGATAGCTCGATTGGAACAGAAGTTATTTTCCCCCAACTTGGCAAATGTGCCAAAATCAATGTTTTGAGAAAACGAGAAAAAGCGTTTTAAAACACCTATATTGAAAAAACACTAATAAAGTCCTATGAACATGCACCAGCGGCATAAACTGGATGCATCCTATCCCTATGCTTCTTCTTGACCAGCTTTCTCAGACTTAAGGGCATTTCTCTCTATTTACTTGAGGTTGCACTCTGACGACAGTCCTCTTCCGTAGCCCTCAGGGATGTGCTGCTGAATATCGTAATGTCCAGCTGCTCTAGAATTGCAGCAAATGTATTGACATGGCCCGTGTTGAAGCACAGCACAGGTTCTGCAGCAGCAGCTTGCACAGCAAAAAGAGAAGCGTGCTGCTCCTTTCACACCAAACTCCGAAATCATGGATTGGAGGCTTTCGTGTGAATTCTGAGTCTTGCCTTGCTGGCATCTTGCCTCGCTGCCGCACCACTTGACTCTGAAAAGCGTTCAATTTTTCGCGCTGTTGCCAACATCAACGAAAGACCCTCAAGTGTTGTGGTTGTCCCGCAGGCGCGCGTTGCGAACTTCACTGGCATCGATCACATCAGCGTCTACCCACACACGGCCGGAGTCGACATAACGCGCGCTGTCAGGGTGGCCTGTGTCAACACGCACTTCACTATTGCCGATAGCATCGGCGCGATCATAATTCACAGAGCGTCCGCTATCCGGGGAAGCCGTTTTGCACACTCCTCCATTGATAACATCTTCAGTACACGAGCGGCCAGCGTCCATGCCGCGCACGCGCGAGGAACTGTCTTCAATTATGACGGCGTTATCAAGTCATCATTATAAACCTCGGCGCTTGCTCCCGCGACACAGTAGCAGCACCAACGGGCTTTCTGCCTTTCTTCCATGAACGGCGAAAATGATGCTGCGATCGTAACATTTTTGCACGGCCAGGCATAGCGGATGCACAAACACGTTAGGGATACGAGTCACGACACCGTTGCAAGGACGATATCTTTGAAAAATGGCGGCAGTCACTGCCAGCAAGTTTTCCTGGCCAATCGGGAAGCGCCATTTTCGTCACGTGCGTCAAGCAACCAATGGAATCACGTGTTGCACGTGATTTTTACTTCGCTTTTTTGCTTTTGTGAGGGGCACAATTGGTCTACTGGGGAAAAAAAAAAGAAGCTAGAAACGCGACCTTTCCAACAAGACCAAAATAGCGCTGGTGGAGAACGTAGTTCGCGTGCCTTCGGCGGTTGAAATAGGGCTAGTTTACACTTCAATTTAAAGGTTTGCATCCGCGAAGTTGCTCTCTTTATAGGTTATAACTTGAGAAATAAGTGGAATTATGAAGGCCAACTTTGCTGATAGGTGCGAAAGGGCATCGGGAACGTGAAAATGATGAGAGAGAAAATGCCATTTTTGGACCGATCTTTTACTACTAAGTGCCACGTCATCTCTTTAAGGGTAGACTGGTGTTCTAAAGAAAAATTTTGCTTATAATCATGTTCAGTTAAAATTTTCCGGCAATGTACATTTCAACCTGCTCTAAATAGATATCCAATCCATTTTCTTTCATTTCACGTAGTTCTTGAGATAATAAATAATGGATTGTCGTATTGCTCATTGTTCTGTAGCTTAATCATTGAATATCCTAGAAAATTTTATATGCACATATTCTAGAACAATCAAGGATCACGACTAAGCCATCACTGTAGTTTTAACTCTATATTTATGAAAGTTACTGCCATCTGCATGGTAATGATTGGGAACACAAGAATACTTCATCAGTTTTATCAGCACTTAAAAAAATTTTCTCTTGACTAATTTTATAATTTAGTAGAGTTATCGTGTATAGGAACTCGCAAGCTTTCAATTGCAACAAGAGTGTTGAAATTTGATCACCAGATCAAAAAAAGCTTGAAGACTTGATATAGGGGAGGGACATGGCGTTTAAAGATAACATGGGTTATTTCTTGAAGAAATTACTTTAAACTGCACAGCTTTTTTCAGTTTCTGTAGCTCATTTGAACTATCCAAATGTATTTTATGCAGGTCAATTATATTCTGAGGTAATTAGTAATTACATTATACAGTCGAATCTCGACAATTCGAACTCAAAGAGGCCCGAAAATTTGTTCGAATTAAAAGAAGTTCGAAATAATGAAAGCTAAGAAAACGAAGGGCTCCCCATGCAGTGGTGCATGTGCATTGACCTAACACACGAGGGGGAAGTTTCAGAAGACTTGCATATATTCACAAATCACAGGACATCCGTCATTAATTGAAGTAACCGGTGATGTGCGTCTGCACGTTTGCCTTGCAGCGAGTCAATCAATTTTGCACGCAGCTTGCAAAGCATGTCTACTTCAGCTTCAGCATTCTCCTGGCAAGAGAAGCTGCGCGGGGCAATGTCTAGCGCCGACACTCGAAGACGACAACGACGACTGCATCGCCGCTACTACGTGTATAGGTGTTCTGTGCTACTACCCTCTGCGCCAAAGCCGCAGCGTGGCCAGCACGTGATAAGACAGGAGGAGCGTCTCCGCGCAGAGAGAAGCAGATCGGTATTTGAGATAAACCAACACACCACGGCAGCTTTTTTCTTTCTTTGCTCTCTTTGCGTGCGTTGTTGAAAGGAGAAGGGTTACGTGGCAAGAATGGGAAAGGCGGAAGCGTGGCACCGGCGTGTGAGAGAGAACCACATTCCGCAACAGCTTTTTCTCTCTCTCTCTTTTTCTTTTTTCGCGTGGCGTTGGAAGGAGAAAGAGTTTTACGTGGCAGGGACAGAAAAAGTGGTGGCGGTAGTGGTTAGACGAGGAGAAAGGCACCTAATTTCTGCAGCCCGGTCGGGAGCTGGTGCAGTGCCTGCGAAAAAGGGAGAAGCGTGCACAGGCACCTCGCAAATCGCATTTGAGAGACAGCAAACATTCTACCGCAGTCTTTTCTTTCCTTTTCCTTTCCTTCGCGCTCAGCGGTGAGGTGTCTGAGGTGTTGTGGCGGCGGGCTCTGTAGAAATGGGCTACGAGTGGCTGGTCCGATTTGCGGTGATTCTTGGCAACGCATCAAAGTCATTCACAGCCATCAGCCACAAAGTTCATGATGCGGCAGAGGATGCCATCTGTGCTAATCCTGTGAGGTTGAGGGCGCTCACAGTGAGGGAAGTTAGCAGGGACGACATTGCCGTTACGTAGGACGGTACCAACATAAGCGCGGCCACAAGAGTCACAATGGCATCGGCACTTTTTCGCCCTTCGACACTGGACGTAGTTTAGGTCTCGAAATCCTGTCGAAGTTCTCCCTATTCAACACAAGGCTCTGCCATATGAAGCAGAAGAAGTTTGGCAAGTGTTTCATAGCCCTGTGTGTGAGCGTAATGTCTGTGAGAAGTCAGTTCAAAAAAAGCTGTGAGGGATAAACTTATGGTGCTGGCGCATTCTAGCGGCTGTGGCCACTACAAGAAAGATTGTTCTATTTGGTGTGCAAATTTCCTAGCATTTAATTTCGTCTTTCATAAATGAAATTTGAATTTATCTTTAAAACTCGTTTTTCTCAAAACACAGATTTCGCCTTTCTTTTTTTTTCAATGTGCCCCTCCTTTTTTACGTACTTACGGTGCCCGGATCTGCATGAAATTTGGCTCAAGTTTTTTCAAAGTATGACAAACGCAATTATCTACTTCAAATTTCAATATTTGTCATGAGTAAGAGGGCACGAGGCACGTGCCAGGCGCTGGAATGCGACACTCGTGCGCCGAACCCCCGATGTTGCATAGACGCGCCACATTCATGTACCAGCTTGGTCGGAAAGAGGCTCGTGGCACGCGGCCGTGATGAAAAATCGCAGAGGATAAGCTGGCACTGTGCTGTGGGGCTTCGAGCTGCGAAGACATGGGAAACCAGTGTCGCTACAGCGATGGGAGCAGCATAGCCACCCGGTTCTGAGGGATCCCGGTGTGAGAGGCCCTGGAAGGGGGCGTCGACCTTCAAGGTGCTCCCGAGTGAGGCTGCCCGGACTAGCTGCATCCATACTCAGCAGTTCAGGGTGGACCTTCACCTATCCCACATCGCGCTAGGACGGGAGCAGCCCACAACAGTCACCAGAGTAGACCCGTTAGCAAGGGAGTCCCTGATGAGTTAAGGAGAGATCAGCAAAGCTGAAGATTGCGACGAAGTCCGGGGCACCAGTGATGAGGAAGAGCGGCTCTGTCGGCAGAAAATGACGGTAGGAACTCACGGAGAACGTGGACGGAGGACTCGAC